ATCACATTAACCAATGCAAAAAAAAAAAAAAAAAAAAAAAATGCCTTTTTTGTTGCTTGTTTTTGTAGTTTTCACTATCAACAGGTTACCCTGGACTGTGCTGACATTCAACCACTTGAGACACATCACTGGCCCTACGTTTGTTATTTGGGAGGAGTTGGAGTCTCAAGGACTTTTCTGCCCAAGTTGGCCTCAGACACACGCACCTTGCTGGCAACCTCATCAGCCAGAATGTGTTCCACCCCCACCACACACTTTCACCTGTACTCACAATTCATTTCAACTGTCAACTACACTGGAATCTGGGTAAAAGGGCACACACTAGGTAATCTCAGCAACTCTTAAGAGGCTAGTCTGGGCTACATAGTTACTTCGAGACAGCCTATTAGGCAACATAGAGAGACCTTGTCTCCAAATCAAAACAAAAATCATAAGCAAAGGCTCAAAATGTCATCTGATATGTTGGACACAAAGATGTCACATTTCTCCAATGGTATCACTATTTGTAAAGACAATAGAAAAGAAATATCCTGTGTTTTTGTTAAGAATATCAAGAGCCCTGCCCTTTCTAAAAAATAAAGCATTTTTCTGGTGATTACCTGGTAATTCAAAAAGTAGGCCAGGCACTAGTAGCTTACCCCTGTAATCCTAGCTACTAAAGAGGCTGAGATCTGAGAATCATAATTTAAAGCCAGTCAGGACAGAAAAGTCTATGAGACTCATCTCCAGATAACCACCAGAAAACTGGAAGTGGTACTATGACTCAAAGTAGAGCAAAAGAGCTCAGGAACAATGCTCGGGTCCTGAGTTCAAGCCCTCCTTATGACCAATAAAGAAAGAAAAAATAGTAACAAGGAAACCAATTCTTTATATTTAATCCTTTTAGAAGTGATTCAGTATAGTAAATTACTGGTAGACTCAAACACTAAAATCAAGACCTACTGTTTGTCTTTACATAAAGTGTAAGATTAAAAATAGAAGCTGGGCCAGGCACCAATGGCTCATGCCTGTAATCCTAGCTACTCAGGGGGCTTAGGTCTGAGGATCTGTCCTGTCCAGGCAGGAAAGCCCATGAGACTCTTATCTCCAATAAACCACTAGAAAACCAGAAGTGCTGCTGTGGCTCAAGTGGTAGAGCACTGGCCTTGAGCTGAGAGCACAGGACAGTGCCCAAACCCAGAGTTCAAGCCCCTCGACTGAGGAAAAAAAAAAAGCTGTAATCCTAGCTTTTAAGAGGTTAAGGCAGAGATATCACAAATTCCAGATCATCTCAAACTACATGGTCAGCCAGATTTTGAATGGAACTGTGGAGAATGTGCATGTAATATCAAGGGAGTCCTGTAGCTGGAGAGTATTTAGTCTTAAACCCCTGGTTGTGAAATTAATTTTCAAAAATACAAATACTAAGATTATCTGGTATTACTATAATGACAGATGTATATATTAGTGGGAAAAAACTAAGAGCTCAAAAAAATCTTAACTTTTTTTAGTCAACCACCCCTACAGATTGAGAATAATGATCAAAATGAATTATGATCAAAATGGGGTTAATGGTCTTACAGGACAGCCAAGAGCTCACAAGTAACAGTAAACACTGAAGTCTATACATCATACTTGCCTTTGTTATTATGGTTGGTTCGAGAACAGGAAAGTTAAATACATTAGTAAAACAAACATCTCTACAGTAATTTAATGGAGGGCTCTATAGAAAGTAAAACAGTATGCTTTAGATTTTCTAGAACATTTCCAGCAGAAAGCACTGAGGGCATGGCTCAAGTGGTAGAGAGTAGACAGCATGGCCTTTATTTCAAAACCCTGGTACCGCCAAAATAAAATTGTTAAAGGCATTCCTCTTTCGCTTAGAAACACATACATATATCTGAATGTTTAAGCACCAACAAATACATTGTTTGAAAATTTTAAACAGATGGTTTGTAAACTGAAAGATGCATGTCATTAAAAATTTCTTAGTAGTAAAAACAACTGATGAAACAGCTACATCAACCAGAAACTAAACAATGACTGCACTCAATATTCCTCAAGAAAACTCCTAAATAAAGAAGTTCTTTTGTGTGTGTTTGCCAGTCCTGGGCTTGAACTCAGGGTCGAGGCACTGTCCCTGAGCTTCTTTTTGCTCAAGGCTGTAACTCTACCACTTGAGCCACAGCGCCACTTCCCGCTTTTTCTGTTCATATGGAACTGAGGAATCGAACCTAAGACTTCATGCATGCTAGGCAAGCACTCTACCACTAAACCATATTCCCAGCCCAATGAAGTTCTTTAAAGTAGATGTATTCAAGTAAATGCGCACACACACACACACACACACACACACACACACACACGCTCTAAATTCCCTAACTGGCTCACACACAATAACAGAAAATTGGCCAGGCACTGGTGGTTCAGGACTCAGGTCTGAGGATCAAGGTTTGAAGTCAGCCAGGCAGTAAAGTCTAAGAGAGACTTAACTCCAACTAACAAGCAAAATGCTGAACTAGAGGCATGACTCAAGTCATAGATTGCTAGTGCTAGGCTGTGAGTAAAAAAGCTAAGCAAGAACGTAAGACCAGGTTCAAGCCCCAGTACCAACACAAACACAATACATAAATGCACAGAGAATAGACAAGTAGCCAGGCATCAGTGACTCACACCTGTAATTCTAGCTACTAAAGAGACTGAGATTAAGAGCATTGCAGTTTAAAGCTAGCCAAGTCAGAAAAGTCTTCAAGACTCCATCTCCAAAGTAACCAACAAAAAAAGCAGAACTGGAGGTATGTCTCAAATAGTAGAGTATCAGCCAAGCAAGCAAGCAAGCCAAGCTAGTGCAAGGCCAAGTTCCAACTCCAGTTCTGCCCTCCCTGAAGGAGCTGAGTAGGGGAGGAAACAGACCAGCAATAGACGAAATCCAGCAATATATGACTATGTAGTTCCAGTACACAAGCTTGACTTAATATTTGAAAATAAAGTCCCCCAAGAAGCCAATACCATTTCAATCTACATTTCTGCGCAATTCCAATCAAAATCCTGGCTGGCTTTTTCATACAAGTTGATAAGCCAGATTCTAAACTTCATACTGAAATTCAATTGACTTAGGATAGTACCTCTTGACAAAGAAGTCAAAGGACTCACACTTCTAATTTCAAAGGTTCAAATATAAAGAAAATCTGGTACTGATATAATGATAAGACATATAAATCAATGGCTAAAATTAACAGCCCAGAATCAAATTTTACTTCAACAAAAGATCAAAAACAGGAGGCCATGGGAAAACAGTCTTTTCAAAAAATAGTACTGAGACAGCCAGGTGCTGATGGCTCACGCCTGTCATCCTAGCTACTCAGGAGGCTGAGATCTGAGGATCATGGTTCAAAGCCAGCCCAGGCAGGAAAGTCCATGAGACTCTTATCTCCAGTTAACTGCCAGAAAACTGGAAGTGGCGCTGTGGTTCAAGTGGTAGAATACTGGCCTTGAGCTGAAGAGCTCAGGGACAGTGGCCAGGCCGAGTTCAAGCCCCATGATTGACAAACAAAAGTTAGCTTATAAAATAAATAAATCAAAGGTGCAAATGTGAAAGTTCAACCTTTAAAAGTCTTAGATAAAACATCATAGGAATAAATCATGTGGCCTTGGGCTGAAAAAGATTTCTTTAGATTCTACAACAGCAAAAGCATAAATAATTTTTAAAACTGAATAAATGGGACTTGATAAATTCAAGACTTTAGCACTTCAAAACTCACCATTTACAAAGTGAAAGGGAAGTCACGGAAAGAAGCAAAATATTTTTAACTCCTATATGTAGCGAGGGGCTTAAAGAACAAGGAGTATCAGCAACAAAATCATGCAACAATCCCTCTTTTCTCTTAGAGTGACCACAGGAAGGCTGGTGTATAGAGAGCTGCGGTAGAATGCTTGTCTAGCACACACAAAGCATAGTTTTGATCCCCAGCACCAAAAAAAAAAAAAAGTGGCAACTAATGTGGGAAGGTATTTCACCGAAGACAGAAGAATGACTAATAACATATGAAAAGATGTTCAGTGTCACCAGTTATTAGGGAAATGCGAATCAAAATCACAATGAGAAAGCAGAGAGCTACAGCTCAAGTAGTAGAGCCCTAGCCTTGAGCAAAAGAAGCTCAAGGACAGTACCCAGGCTCTGAGTTCAAGCCTAACAACTGGCACAGGTGCACATGCGCACGCACGTATACACACACACACACACACAATCAAAATGAACTATTACTTTCTTGTCTGTATATCAACAATGGCTATAATCAAAATAATAACAAATGCTGGTAAGAATATGGAAAGTTTGATAGGAATATAAAATAGACTATTCTTGAAATGTTATAAATTTACTACTGTAGATTATCTGACCAGCCCTTTCATTATCCCACAGACTTGTACAGGGTCATAGTACAAAACAGAAATAAGAAACAACCCAATGTGTCCATCAACTGAAAAAAATGGGCCATGTTTTCTGACAGTGAATATTCCTCAGTACTGAGACAGGCTAAGGCACGGGTGGCGCCTTAAAATTTTTATGCTAATTAAAAGACATCAGTCACATTTTCACAAGACTTCAGAAAAGGCAAATGTACAAGGTTATTGCCTGGGGGTGGTGAGAAGTAGAAAAACCTGAGAAGACAAGCAATACCTACCCACAAAACCCACAGATACTAACTACACACATTTGGAGAATACAGAGTGCACACACTTTCGTGTGTATTTGTACTTACTTACCAACAGTATGTGAAAAATGGAACTGAAAAATACAATTATAATTCTATCAAATAACACACACAGTAATGAGTCTAAAAGATCTGTACTGTTGGTGCATGATGAACTGCAGCCAGCTGTCCATCTGTGTGATCCATGCATGTGGGTGCAGTCAACTGGGAGTCTAGCGTGATTTTCTGAAAAGATCTGTACTGATGTTTTTCCTTATTTTTATTAACCAACCCCACCTGTTACTCTGAGAAAATGGATTGACATGACCATGGAAGTCTTGAGAACTTGAGTCAGCTCAAATCAACAGAACTGCATATGCACATAGAAATATAAAAATAGTCTACTCTGAAGTAGGTGGGGGAAAAGTTCATGTAACAGAAAATTGCTTTCTCAGTTCTCACTAGGAATTTTCTGATTTAAAAAATAGCTTCCCCAGCTGAGTTGATGGACACCTCGGCACAGAAGAGCTTTAAAAAAGGAGCCCACATAGCCCGAATAATATGTTAGCGCCTACTCTCCTGGCAGGACTCTCAGTTGCTCACCTCCTTTCTCATTCTACCTTTTTTTTTTTTTGGAGTCAGTCATGGGGGCTGAACTCTGGGCCTGGGCACTGTCCCTCAGCTCTTCAGCTCAAGGCTAGCGCCCTACCACTTGAGCCACAGCACCACTTCTGGCTTTT